CCCCCCGAGACTGGCCCTGGACAGTGCAACCAGACGCGCCCCCTGAGACTGGCCCTGGACAGTGCAACCAGTTGCCCCCCCTAGACTGGCCCTGGACAGTGCAACCAGACGCACCCCCCCGACACTGGCCCTGGACAGTGCAACCAGACGCGCCTCCCAAGACTGGCCCTGGACAGTGCAACCAGGCCCCGTAACCACCATCAGCCACTGGACTGTCCGAGCGCCTTAGCGCCCACACTGCGTTCCCTCCTTCGTGGCGGCTTACTCACTCGCCAGAGCCCCGACGAGTAATCTGCCCCCTCCCAGCGATAGCTGTGGTGGTAGCCAGCGTGCCAGGCATTGTTCTAGGCACCTCACACGTGTTCTGTCGTTTCATCTTTTCTGCAGGCCCCCCCCTCCTTTACAGGGGAGGCGGTGAGGTTCCAGAGCGCTGCTGACTTGTCCAGGGCCCCACGGAGAGGAAATTAGGGAGTCAGGGCATGAACACAGGCATAATAATGTTTTCTGCATTCGGTCCTTAACCAGAACACTAAACTGGTTTTTACTTCAGGAAACTGATGACCAAAAAAGTGAAAAGATTTCTTCAAAGCCATATGCTTGATAAGTAGCAGAGTCTGGATACAAAGTATCTACACAGCTTCTGGCTTCCTCCAGATCTCTCCAGGTGGCCGCTGCCACCTGCCTCGTGGGTTCCCGCGCCTGCCGATGGCTCGGCAGGACGGACCGAGGCAGGATGTCTGCCGGGGAAGGTGGCCCCTGGGTCCCTGGTGTCCCTGGAACAGGCAGCGGCCATCAGGTTGGAGTCAGGGCGTGGCAGTAGGCCATCTTGATGGGCACTGTGCTTGGCAGGCCGTGCTGGAAAGCAAGTGGCTGTCTGGTACACCGGGTGGGCGCCTGCGCTGGGCCAAGCTCCGGAACGTTGTCCTGGGGGCTGCTCAGTTCCGCCAGCCCTTGAGGGAACGGCGGCGGCAGCGGCAGCAGGCAGCAGTGCAAGAGGCGGGCAGCAGCCAGACAGGTGGGTAGGGCCTGTGACGGGCTGGGGGCCGAGCAGCCAGGCTCCGGCGGGGAGAGGCACGGAGAGCTGGGGCTGGCCTCATGGTTGGCATCGGGTGTTCTGGGGACGGGGACGCTGCAGTTGGCTGATGACAGAGGAGAGGACATTCTGCCTGGGAAGAGCCCTACAACCCCGCGCCCACGCAGGGAGCCGTGTTTTGGACAAGGGGCCGGGTTTGTACCCTGCTGCCTTCAGCCTCCTCCCGGTCTTTCGCAGAGCCCTGTCTGGAGCGTCGCTCCCCTACGCGCCCACTTCAGCGCCAGACTACTTGGGCCGGTCGAAGCTTCCGGGACCCAGCTTCACCCACGGGGCGCCTGGTGAAAAGCGGCAGTCTGGGCAGTGCCCGCGGGACACAGCCCACCGTGGAGGCTGGCGTGGCCCACAGTGAGTGTCCGTCTGAGCCATCTCCCCAGTCGGCTTTCCTCCCCGCTTGCCAGGGAGAGAGGAGGAGAGCAGAGCCCGGGCTGGAAGGGCCCTCTGGCGGGGGGGCAGGGGGTGCTGTGGAAGCTGGGGGACCTCGCCTGGGTCACTGTCACGGGGGTGGGGTGCTGTGGAAGCTGGGGGACCTCGCCCGGGTTGCTGTCACGGGGGGGGTCGCTGTGGAAGCTGGGGGACCT